AAAACGTAGGAACTCTCCTCCATCCTTTTGCTTGTTGAGGATGTTTCAATAAAACTACAACAATTACAACAAGTCAATTACTTGGCTTCCAAAAAAAATTATAGATATCATATACCAAGAGAAACAAAAAGTATGCAGTTTTACATAACAAAGGTCGCTATTTTAGATCTAAGCTGATCTCTGTCTTACAAGTATCACTACTCCACTAATCAGATATCAGATCACTTAGCTTTAAAACATCTATCGCAAGACTGCAGACAATTCTCATTTAGAGCTCGAGTTCAACAGACCTCAGCTAGCTATCACAAAACTGAGTCTTCCATTCCAAGCAAAAACTTACCAACGCTTTACCTTTGCAGGTAGTTTCATTGAGAAAAGTGTTTCAGAGGATACAGGAAAGTCTTTTATTAATGAATTAGAGGAATAATTTATTGACGTCATCTTATTCTAGCACTTTACTTTCAAGTTTGATTGTACAAGGTAAATGCAGTGGCAATGTCTTTCACAGGTTTAGTCTTGAGTTCAAAGTGGGACTTGGTAAACGTTTCGGACCACTTTCTCTTACCACCGAACAAGCATACACCACATGTTGCATGCCTAGAAGTAGTTTGATATTACAGGCGGGTATGAGAAGTTTTCACCCACATGATTATTACATTACATTTAAGCACTGGCGCATATTGCAGTTCAAGAAAGCCTGACAAAACAATTCCCAACAGACACTCATGCCCACTTCGCGGTTTTTCTCGTCGCTCTATTCAGCCATTTAACCTTGCACTCTCCTCCCTTCCTCTCGTCTTTTCTTCCCTTTACTCGCCCTTTCCCGGGCCTCCCTAAGCATCCTACCCTTCGTCCCTTCCCACATTACCCACAATGGGCTCCTATTCCCTCCCAAATGTCAACAAATGCAATATTTATCATTTTAGTAAACACTTTCGACAACAGTTTTGAACAACTGAAGGGCTTACCGAAAAGGAGGATGAAACTCCACTTAGCCACTGAGGGTACCATCATGACGTGTTTCAGTTTGTTTTCTGCAGAAGAAAAGTTAATGTGTCTCAATTTTTTCTTTCATTTTTTCATCAAAAGAGGTTAGTAAATTAAATCTTTTCAAAGCAGCTCGATGTGTTATACACAAGTTTCTGGAGTAAACTCTTGAGGTTTTAACGAATTTGTCTCCATTGGCTACAGAACAAACGCATCCTTCGAAGTGAAACAGAAAAAACCTCAAAGACTTTCTTAGCACTTGCTGGAAAATTGAATTTAAAAAAAAGATAGTCATTGTTTAACTCTGCTGAAAATTAAGATATTGTTTTGCCATTGCTTATCATCAGTACTTTTCATCACCTGCATTAATCAGTCGAGAGAAAAAAACACCTTTTTTGTCCTAGAACGTTCCCCTTTGTAATTTAGAATAATAAAAAGAAGATTGTGTCAGTTGCCTTATGACTCATGAGAAGAAATTTACGTCAAAACTAATAAATACAGCCACCCAGGAACCAATGGACTCTTTACCCATTGTTCAGTCATGCACAGCTAAAATTCACCTACTCTAAAAATGGCAATGTATGTCAAGACCTGCTGAAAGGAAAGGAGTAACTTTGTCGTCTTGTCTAATAACTACTGTTCATACTTCGTGGAAATTAAATATTGCGATAAAAATTTTGGTTTATTCTCAAATCATAAAAAGGATATTCAACTTTACATTAAACTTTTAGATAGGTTTAACGCCCGAAAAATTTCAATTCGTTCATGCGTCTTACACATTGATAAATTTTTTTCAACATTTTTGTGCGTTATTCACAAGAGGAAAATCTAATGTAAAACAAGGAAAAAATTGAACAGTTTATTTTTAGTACTGCTGTCATGGACTGTGCACATATCCTGATGTATCAAAAATGGACAATTTGATATACAACCGAGCTAATTCTATTTGAAGCATTATCTAAGTCAGAATGGAGGCATCAGTTTTTAGCCAATAAGTTGCATTTCATACATAAACTTTACTTCTTTTCAGAGTGGCTTGTAGCGTAGTGTTAGCGTAGTCTCCGACTTTCAAGTCGGAGACTACGCTAAGATCTCAGTGCGACCGAAGGACGCTGTCGACCCGGCTACACAAGATGGCGTCGTTTACAGGATTCCCTGTGAATGCAGCAAGGTATACATCGGAGCGACTGGAAGACCTATATAAGACAGAATTAAGGAGCACGATTGAGACATCCGACTTGCCCGTACCAGACCTCCGCCGTTTCAGA